CTTACTAATTGATCTGCAAGCATCAAAACTGTCTTCAAAGAGAACTTCCGATTGCAATAGTTGAACAAGTCTTCTAGGCTTGGCCCAAGAAGGTCAATAACCATGACATTGTATTCACCTTCAACTCCGAACCATTTAAGATGGGGTACACCCGCTAAATGCATTGCAAAATACATAAGTTTAGTTTGGCCTTTGAAAATAAATATTCACATTACAAAAGAAAAGAAAAGGAAAAAAAACACTATAGAGTAACCCACTTCCTCCTTGAAGAAGCATGTACAACTTTGACTCATAATGAAGCTGAGGGTGTTTTGTCTTCACGGATTCCTGAGGGAGCAAAAACAAAAATGTTTAGATTGAAGTACTCTGTCTTGTGCAAGGTGGATTTTAACTACTAAAGAGAACCATCTAAACCATAGAGCATCTAAACCTTCAATTTCAAGCCAATCACATAGTGGGGCCCAATTTGTTTCTTAACCTTTGGTAAACTTAAACCAAACAAAATTCTATGCACACTCATAAAAAGCATCTCCTCTAGCTCCTCCCATCTCTCCACTGTCTTGAATATCTGTCAACTACTTCCACCAGCATGGATAACCTTCAGTGTTGTAATACTCAATCACATACTAAATTACGATCACAAATTGTGCAACGTTATCACAAACCACTCACAACAAAAATACTCTAGCCACTATAGAGGGTATTTACAAATACATGTGATTATAATTTCTTGAATTTAAAACAGCACGTATTGAATCTGTTCTGCACTTACATGCATATTTACTCATAAGTAAAGGTGGGTACGCAAAATGCTAATGCAACTATATGAATGCTAACTGTATTCAGATTCTTAATAGAAACAACCAATTCCAGATGGAGCTACAAGTGTCATATCCACTTGCTTGTATAATCAATGGCTTTTGGTATTCACAACCTCAAATCAAAGACAAATTCAACCAATTACATTATGAAACATAATAATACCGATCGTAGTTTTCAACATATAAGAGCTCAATACCATCCATTTAAATAACAAAATTTCCCCACAACTTTTCGTTTAAAACTAAGATTAATGAAGGTTCCAGACATACCAGCTTGACAGCCACCTCCTCTCCAGTTTGTACATTAATGCCTGAGACAAACCAAACCAACATTATCGTCAAACATCAAAACCAAAGCCAGCAGTTAAAAAAATGAAAAAAGCAAGCAATGCCACTAAAATAACAAAACTTTTGCACCAAACAAGAAAACGGTCACATAAATTGCATACCCAAATAAAGTTCTCCAAAGGATCCGCTACCGATCTTACGTCCTAGCTTGAACTTTCCACCAATAACATGCTCCATGATCTGAATTCCCAATCAAAAACACAATAAGCACAAAACCCCACTTCACCTCCTTAAATTAGAACCCAATCCACTCTAAACTATGATCCCAATCGTTTCCCACTGCTCAAATAGCTCATCAGCAATCCGAGTCAAACTCCTAATCCACTGCTGAGTTAATTGTTTCTATGCAATCTCAGATCCACCAAATTTCAGCATGGATGGAATGTCCAGAAATTCTTACTCTAGCATATCAAGCTTGCAAAAAGAATGCTCAAACCTATAGTATAGTATACACAAAACTGATACAAGATTTGAAAATCTAAAGGAAACCCACTAAACAGTGGAGCCAGAACAAAATTTTGGGGTCATCAAAAAGGCATTTTTCTCGGGAAAGGAGATGAGGGCAAGAATGTGGAGAAAGGGTTTCTTCGCTGCGTAATTATTTTCATGTAAAATGGAAAAAATTTCAGCGTGGGAAAAGAATGGATGGGACTTTGAAGTCGAAAAGGAATCTACCGCTTGAGATTTTCACGGCCCAAAAAGGAACAAATATGAATTTTGGTAAGAAAGAAAGTGATGTTAGGATTGGAGGGGATCTTTGGATCTGGGTTGAGGATAAGGGGTTTTGGGTTTTCTAGGAAAGTTTTGATTTTCTGGTGAAAATTTGGACGGTCTGAGAAAAGGAATATTGGGTTGATAGAGAGGGGAGAGGGGAAGAGGGGAAGAGAAAACAAGGGAAGATGGATGAGAGTGGATGATTGATGTCAAGGAAAAGCTGGGTATATGACACGATATGATTAGGTTTTTTAATTGCTACATAACTTATAATTAACTTTAATTCTTTTACTTTTTTTATTTTTTGTTTTGTTTTTATTTCTATTTTTTTAATAACATAAAAAAAATTGATGACTGATGAGAAGGCTGTGCGTCCATTGTCCAACTACTCCTTCGTAGCTTCAATTCCACTTGAACAAGAAGACACAACTCACAAATGTTTACTTTCCACAAGTATGGTGGGTTCACTATTTTCTTGTATCGAGAAAACCATCCATGTGTAATGTGTGTAGGTCATTTTTCTCGCAACAAATGGTCACGTGATTAACATTTGATGATGTTAAAGTATATGCTCGTTACAAATAAATATTTTTCGTAAATGAGTTATGATCATCCATATTATCATGTTGATGTGAGATTAAGTACTTTCTTACTAGTTAAAATTAATGAAAATACACTTGTACACTTTCTCTCGCATAACAACTTGTTGTTAAAACATACACTTGTTACGTATAAGTCTTTCTCGTAAATGAATTGTCATCATCATACGTATTGTCAAGTTGATGTTTTTTGTGAGGATTCTTGTCAATGCTGTATAATATACAAAAGCAATTTCAATCCTTCTTGACTAAGTATCCGGCAAAGTTTGTTTTTATTTTTAAATGTTTGTTTTGATCATAATAAGTGCTTTTCTAATGTTAGAAAGTGCTTTACATGAAAATGTTGAACCTGCAATTATTAGACATACAGATCAGTCATCTCTAATTATGTACAAAATGTGGAGGGTTGATAAACATTCTCATCAAGAATTACGTGTAGTTTGAATTTTAATAATCAACTTTCTTCATTTGCCATCATGTATTTGCTGTAGATTTGATTTGAGAACCAATCCTTTTCGGATACTACTAACACAACACGTCAAAGAAATTGGATTTGCATAACTTCTCTGGGTCTCTTATTTGCTATAAATTATAATATCATAATAGAGGACAAAAAAGATATTTCCTTTTTCTTTTTTTTGTTCTTTTTAGCTTATGAATTATGTCTCATAAGTTAACCAAGGTGGTTGGTGTGAGTGGTTCGGCACTCTCATTCCTTAAGAGAGGTCAGGGGTTCGATCCCTGCTCTCGTATGGAGTCACCACTTTAGCCAGCACTTTACTCCTTACGGGCCGACCCGGTGTGAACGGGGATTAGTCTGGGTTGTGGTTAAGGCTTAAAGGTGCCATCCATAGTTGGAGCCCATCCAGGACCACCTCGTGGTTCAGACCAAAAAAAAAAATTATGTCTCATAAGTTTTTTTGTGCACCAGTTTTTAATCGTGGTGTTATTGCTCAAAGTGTATTATGTATTATATTTTAGTGAATGTGTTATTATAAACATGAATTCGAAGAGATCCTAAGTTCTACTCGGTCTTCTTTATAATTCAAAAAATCATGTGAAGTGGTAACGTCAAACCATGGTTAGATGCGGTGAAAATAAAAAATGTATATCATGCATATGAGTTTTATATGGCCTCGCAAAGCAGCGCTTAAGGTCAAACAAATCATCATAAAAAGTTGATTACAATAAAAAGTAAAGTAAAAATAATTCAGATTCATAATTAAATCCAAAAATCTGCAACTTCAACCTAGATCTCCCCAGATGTCTTAAACTATAACAAAAGAAATAAAGTAGGAAATAGTAGAAGTAATAATAACTGGTGCTGTAGGTATTACCCTTGCCTCGCCTTTGCTTGCTTGCCTAAGCATGTTAAAAGTAGACAACTTGGCAACAAACATGCTATTGCTTAAAAGGGTTGTCCCTTAAATCATTGCAAGGAATAAAATAGAAATTGAAATAGAAAAATAAATAAATATAATATTTATATTTATATTTATATTTATGAAATTGAAATTTTCAGGGGCCCTCTGTCAGTGAGTATGCTGTATGCATCTCACTCACGGAATTGAAGTGCGGCTTCCTTTTTTTTTTTTTTTTTTTTTTTTTTTTCTTTTTTTTTTCTGGTGAAGGGCTTCCATTAGTGTGTGCGAACAGATATAAAATAGTTGGTATCTGATTCGACCTTACTTGGATTGGGGCCTGTGGACAGTGGGATTCTGGTCTGTGCATCGATGGGTGATGGTAGGGTTTACCTAAAGCCATAACTACTCAATATGCATAATGAAAAACATTTATTTCAAAGACAATGCAACACTCCCGTACAAAATAAATGGAAAAAAAATTTGAAAAAATACACATTATAATATATATATATATATATTTTTTTTAAATATAAACAAATATTTGGAATATCTCATGTTCGAACCTCTATGACAATGTGATAATGTGTATGAAAAACTCCATCTTCTCTCCTAGTTTAGCAGAAAAACTTTCTTGAAATAGCGATTGCACTATTTTGTTATCTCTAGCCAATAATGCAATGACATGTGGAAAAGTTATCCCCCGTGTCATTGCGCAATTGGCCGGAAATAACACTTGTTATTCTCGTGCATGAAAGTCTCTCTTATAGTTTAGACCATCGCTTGTACTAAAAATACAAAGAAAAAAACTTTACTACTCTCAACCTTTTGGTTTAGACCAATAATGCAATGACATGTGGAAAACTTATCCCCCGTGTCATTGCGCAATTGGCTGGAAATAACACTTTGTTATTCTCGTGCATAAAAGTCTCTCTTATAGTTTAGACCATTGCTTGTACTAAAAATACAAAGAAAAAAACTTTACTACCTCAACCTTTTGGTTTTTGGTCAACCCAGGCCAACCAATGGGTCAGGCCGGTATTGCCTTTCAAATATTGAGAAAATATGTTAATCTCGTGACATTGATAATGAACATATCATACAATCCTCATCAAGTAAAATTGTAAATGTAATAAATAGAAATTTATGAATTTCAAACTCAATTTTTTGTACAGATTATGACTGCAAAAAAATAATCTACCTAATTTGAGTTGCTCCCTAAACATTCCTCCTCTTGTCCTAAATGTGTCAATGACTACGAGTCTGGCAAAAGATGCCTTTAATTAAGTTGGCATGATCTCATTGTTTATCTCACCAGTAATCTCCACAGGAACACTCTCCATCCTTGAAATGGTGAAACCTGCTATTATCCCTGACAATCATCTCTCTCCCGACGATCTTCGACATAAATTTTATTGCTGCATGGCAGTCCACGCACACCCGAATGTTCTTTGTTACTCGAATTGTTGCCCCAGCAGGAGAGCTGATGATGCCAAATGCTATGGCAAGCCTTTCACTGTGGTGGTACAATAAGTACTTCTTTTGCTCCTCCTCAACATCATGGAGCACCTCATTTGTGTTGGGCACATACCCTTCTCGTTCCATCTGCTCCGAAATGACATCTAGAGCCTCAATTATTCGATCATAATATGGGTGGGATTTATCTTCTGCCACAAAAGCATGAACCTTGTTTTTAACTTCAACCCAGCTGCAGGCTGGCTTCTTTTTCAAGCCCTTATCCCTCATACAGGTTCTCACTTTCACTGCATCTTTCCATCTCTTAGCAGCAGAATATACGTTTGACAACAGCACATAAGCTCCCATGTTCTCAGGATCAACTGTAAATATTTTATCAGCAACCTTCTCAGCCAATTCAACATTCTTGTGAACTCTACAAGCAGCCAACAATGTTAACCATACACTTCCTGTTGGTTCTATATGCATGCTAGAGATAAACTGATAAGCTTCCTCCAACCTTCCAGCTCTACCAAGAACATCTGCAACAGCAGCGTAGTGCTCTATACCAGGAGCAATATCATATTTTTTAGTCATACTATTAAAATACTTCCAAGCTTTGTCTACCAATCCAGCATGGCTACATGCAGTCAATACAGCCATGAAGGAGACATAGTTAGGTTTTACTGCCTCTCCTTCCATCTGCTCAAATGAGGAAAAAGCATCAGGGGCATGACCGTGCAAAGCATATCCCATAATCATGGCTGTCCATGACACCATGTCATGTTGCTCCATTTTATCAAAAATCCACCTCGCTATCCTAATGTTACCACATTTGGCATACATGTCCACCAGTGAGCTCGCTACGAACACATTGTCCTCAAATCCGCCCCTAATTATATATCCATGGAGCTGCTTCCCTAGATGAAGTGTTGTCAAGTGAGCACAAGCTGGAATGGTACTTGAAAAGGATACCGGCACAGGCTTAATCTTACCCATCAGCATCTGCCGAAAGAATATCAGTCCTTCATCAAACATACTATTCTGCACACAACCTGCAATGATTGAGTTCCATGAAATGGCATCATGCTTAGGAAGCAGGTTGAACACCCGAAGCGAATCTTTAATTCGATTGCAGTTTGCATACATGTCAATTAAGCTACTCCCTACGAATACATCTGCATCAAACCCATGTCTTATTGCATACCCATGAATCTCCTTTCCCTTGATAACATCTACATATTCTGCAAAAACTGGAAGGACGCTAGACAAAGTGAAAGAATCAGGCTTCAAGTTGGCACTCCCCATATCTTTGACCATTGCTAAAGCTTCTTCATACATCCCATTCTGTGCATTCCCCGCAATCACTGTATTCCAGGAAACAATATCTCTTTTTGGCATCAAGTCAAAGACCTTTCTCACGCTGTCCACTTTGGTACCTCTTTTGCCTTCCTTATGCATAAAAACCTTATTAACGTTCCCATTAAATTTATCATCAACTTCCCGGTATGCGTCAATTTGAGGAGACGTCTCTCTAGATGAAATCAAATTAACATTCCTGTCAATGCCCATTACCTGCACCTGCAACTTATTACTCAGTTTATTTGATTGACTACTATACAAAGTGTCACCACCACCCACTTCTCTCTTTGCATTCCCATCCGAAAGTAGCATCCTTCCCTCACTTTCTACCTCCAAAGACACAGTTCTACCACTCAATTCCATAGAACTACCTAAATCACTCCCAAATTTACTAACTTGATTTCGTTGAGGCATTCCATCAAACAACTTGGGCGCACTAAACCTCCACCCACCAGTCTCAGCCAAAGCCTCTAACTTGGCGTACATATTCATAAGAGCATTACATGTATATAAATCACAATCCATACCGAACCGAACAATGCACCCATGAACTGACTCACCAAACCTCAAGTCCTTAATCAATGTGCATGATTTAAGCACAGAAGGGAACACATTGTGATCTGGGTATATGCCAAAAGCCTTCATTTCTACAAAGGAAGCCAAGGAATGGCGGCAGAGGCCATGGGAAGTGTAGCATCTAATAATGGACTTCCATGCAAGAGTGGTGGGAGGAGAATGGAAGGTGTTGAAGAGAGTGAGGGAGTCATGTAAGAGGTTCAAGTTTGAGTAAACAGAGAGCACAAAGGACAGGTCAGGAGGTGAAGGGCCTTTGGTTTTGAGGATTTGGGCATGGAGCTGTTTGGCCTGGGACTGGGATTTAATGGTGCTGGGGTTCTTGAAGAGGGTTTTGAGCAGTGTTTGGATGGAGCTCATGGGTTTTGGAGGGTTCTTGGTGATTGGTTTTTTGTCTGGCTACAAGCATTGTTGTTTTGGGTTCTTTGATGGCTTCCCGAGATTAGATGTATACTTCGGTTGCTGTGCCTTCCATGAACGATTTTGAAAGTGTTTGCTACTACGACGTACCATCCTTTGCTTATTGGGGTTTTCTCTGATTCTTTCTTGACTCTACTAAGTTTTCATGGTCTCTCTCATGTTTTTACGAGAGAGAGTCAAAAACTATTTTTAAATAATCTATAGGGTAAGGGGGATATGAACTTGAAAGAAGGAACAGACTCACTGCCCTTGGCCAACTGGCCAAATTCACGTTTTTAATTGTCTTTTTCATGTTAGATTAACCTTTTTTTCCCTTAAAGAAAACAAATTTTGTTTCTTCAAAGTAGCATTTTTCAAGCCTAGTAAAAAGCTGGGGAATGAAATGAATGAACAACATAACAGAGACCAACAGAAAAAAGGACAAAAATAAAAAACAATGACAACAATAAAGTAAGAAATAAATATTGAGTTCTGTACTTAGATGACATTCTTGTTTTGTGTCCTCTACAAGGGACTGATTTAGTCGGGTAAAAGGTAAGAGACTAATGATCCAATTTACTCTTTTCATTATATAGCATTGGTATGATAATCATCAACACAAGTTAAATACATGAACAAATATGTGGCAATTGTACATTGCATCTTGACAAAGGGAGTAAAAATAAAGAATACACAACGATTTTCAAAGAATATATACTTTGCAGAAAATATGTGACAAAAAAGCAACATAGCAGACCAGACCCAGACCCAAGAACTAACTAATATGCCAAACCATTGGTTTCTGAGGCCTTTGCCCCGATCTAACGATAAATTAATCACCGAAAAAACATTCTCTTTGGTTGGAACTCTACAGCGACTGGAAACTAGTGCACATCATTGGGATTCACTCTGTTACTCAGGGGCTTCTAGTTGGGGAGGGAGGAGCTTCATAAAGCTTCCTTGAGCAGGTTGATTGGCAACCATAGCGGACTCATCATCTGTCAACAAAACAAATAATGTCCTTATGTTTTGGAGACTATGCCAAAGAAAATTAAAGGATTCTAGCACATGTTCCAGAACAATAAGAAAAAGCAAACACTTCAGTTACAAAAGGCAAACATATTAAATAAATGAACCATTCAGTTTCAGAATTCACAAGATATCACTTCACTTTTTGCAGCACACGAAGGGATACTATTTCATATGAGCGAGGAAAACAACTTATTAGAATATCTTACCGAAAAGGGACTTGATGGAAGGCCGCTTAGGTTTTGTGCTCTTCTTCTTCAATTCAGCTGCAAAAATTAATGCATACAATTAAGAAAAGTAGATTCAAAAGAGTACATAGATACGCTATATAAAAGGATGGAAGGTAATACCAATCCCAGGCAATTGATTATCATTTACGATTTCGAAGTTCTTGTATGTGTAACCGACAAAGTTGACATCTTTAGAAGACAGCATCTACATTTGACACAGCAACCAAAATATTAGCAGTGACCATTGTTTATTATAAAAATGATACACATGATTTACAACTCAAAAAAATTACATAGATCCTACATTAATCCTATAGCTCATTATCATGCAAAAGTACGCATTCTCCTAAACATATAACACTATATATTATGGGCACACTGACCAACCCATATACTAAAGACACCATATTACTCGATGGAAAACTCATGAACCCCCTTGCTTCTATATTATGATAAATGTCCTCAGGGTCCTGCAATCAAGTGCCCACCACGCGTAAAAAGGAACTAATATATTTTGTTCAGTCAAAAAAGGAAATTATTATTCATTCCAAAGAAAACATTCAAACAAATTTTATAAATAACTTTCTTGAAAGAGTTTGAAGAAGTTGCAGTTTTGGTAAAGCAATTTCTTCTAACCAAGCAGCATCAATGTTTGAAAGGAAATTCATAAACAGAAAGAGTCCAAGGAGAGGTGAAACAAAGCAGGATTAGCTAACGAAATGCTCAAGCAACAGAAGCATTATGTGATACAATGACATAAAATTATGAAAGCAGAGTTCCAGAATCAAAATGCATATGACTGAAACTAATAGCACCAACCTTTCTCCATGGACCAGATCTTGTTGAACTTTCAATCTGGTTGTCACCCTACCACCAGCAAATAAGGATAACGGGACAGAAAGGGTTAGCAAAAACATGCCCAAGAATGGCTAATCATGCTGTGTGTACATACACATACATATACAAAACTAAAATCTACCTCTTCAAACTTCTCAAAGTTCTGGGTATCCAATTCATCATTGACCTCAGGGATAAATGCAGCCTTCATTTGATACAATTTGTCCCATTCAATGCCTTTAAACCAGGAGTGAGCCTGAAAATAACAAGGCCAACTAGTTAATTTCACCAGTTACCAGTCCAATTCTAACAGTAAATTTGAGAATCTAGAATAGGACACACCACACAACACCTTTATTTCATCTGCCCCTTTAGTTCCAAGCCTCTGATCAACATTACATAAGAGTTTACTAATGAGATCCTTTGCTTCCGGAGAGAGTTTGGCTTCTTCAGGAAATTTCAAATGAGTTCTCCAATTAACTATCTGGATAAATGAGAAAAGAGGTACTGTTCAACCATAAACGACAATATGGACAAAAATAATGAGAATGGGTGAATAAAGAGTAAGAAAATGAAACAATTAAGACATAACCCAAAGTGTGATTCCTCCAATCACCAGAAAGCAAGCTCCATATATGATATATTCATAAGTACAAAACTGCATCCCACCAGTGTCATGTTTACCGCACATATATCCTAAAGCCATAGCTTGGTATACGTTGGCATATCAAATGAAAAGTAAACACTAGTGCCCTTGAAAATTACCTTCCTACAAGTTGACATGGGCTCATCTGAATAAAAGGGTGGATACCCCACAAGCATTTCATACATAATAGCCCCAAGCGACCACCTGGAAAGTATTAACAATATCTCAGCTGCATGTAAAGGCAAATTTGAAAGGAAAAAAAAAAAACCAGTCTTGTACACTGACCAATCACATTCCATTCCATATCCTTTCTTCAGCAAAACTTCTGGGGCAATATAATCTGGGGTTCCAACAGTAGAATAAGCCTGCAACACGAATAACAGTTTGAAAACTCCAAATCACATTGACGTCCAAAAGGATGGACTGGAGATATCTCTAGTTATATGACATTTCTACACATATCTTTTTATATTGACAAAAAAAATGAGGAAATGCTATTTGAGATAGATCAGAGTGAATTGGGGTACATGGAGACGCATAGGAAGCAGCATGGAATTTGGAACCATATGGTTACTCGAGATAAGGATCCCAATTATTCATAAACTCATGTAGTAGATCCCAAATCTTGTCGTTTTTTTAAATGTAAATTCTCAATGGAGTCTGTTGAGTTTAAACATTTACAGTAATTGCGTAGGATACAAAACCTCCACAGTAAGGACTTAAACAAGAGGATGCTGGATTTGTATTAACATTGTCAGTACTATAGTAATGATAGACATATCAGTAACATGGTACTAGAACTTACAAGCATCCTCCTGTTTCTCTGCCAATGCTGCAATTGCTCCTGTTGTGTACGTTTTGGTGCTGCAGGGCGTCCATCACTTTGAAGAGCCCCACTAAGATTTTTTCCCATGGAGAAATCCTTTTCTTGGAGATTACTGCAATCTAATGGTTTACATAATCCAAAATCCGATAATTTCATGTGACCATTTCTATCGAGCAGCAAGTTGTCAGGCTTAATATCCCTGTAACATATTAACATGGCAAGGAACATTCCTCATGATAGGACATAAAAATAAGATAAGAAGGCATATAAATATGTACCATGAGATAATAATATTATGATCAATTTACCTATGAATGTAATTATGTTTATGAATGGACTCAATAGCTAGGACCGTTTCCCCAACATAAAACCTGGCCTCGTCTTCTGTCAATGTATCCTTGCGCATCAATAAAGTCATCATATCTCCACCGGGAAGATATTCCATAATGAGATACAAGTACTCTTCATCCTGGAAGGAACAATAGAGCTTGACGATACAATTACTGTCAACCTCTGCAAGTAGATTCCTCTCAGCTTTCACATGTTCAACCTAAACAGAAAGATATCTATTGCACTAAGCCCACCAAAGAAAAAATATATTAGATTGAAGAAAAAGTTTGGGAAAATGTATACCTGGCCTCTACGAAGCATCTCTGATTTCTTAAGCTTCTTCATTGCATATACATGGCCAGTTGCTTTCTCCCTACAGACTCTAACCTGCACCAGAGAAACAAAATAGGTCACAAAAGAAAAAAATAAAATCCAATATGTTGATTACAATGTTGTAAGACAAAATGTATTAACAAAGGCCACTTTTATTTCTCAAGATGAGTTATATATGCCAAAATCAGTCAGAAGAATCACTAAGTTGCAACTCTATGCAATCTAAGCTTGTACATGCAACAAGCCATATTTTCATACTCTTTCATAGATGGATGCTAACTGCAGTTAATATACAACATGAAAATTAACTCCCGGCCTGGTAATGTGGTTTGCTAAACAGAGCTGATGTGACATGTGACCTAACCCACGCACAGATGCCAAAACTCCCAAACCATAACCATAATTCCACCAGAGCTAAAAATATTTTTTTTCTCCTGCCCATCTCTCCCAGAATACCCTCTATTATATTTAAAATGAAAAAGGATTTTTTTTATAGAAGAAACGAACTTTATTAAGCAAAAGAACACGGAGGTGGATAAGGCAACCATCACCGAAGAAACAAAAACAACACAGAGAGAGAAACAAACAGCACCAGTCCCTCCCCAACTAACAGGGAGGAACAAAACCGAAAAACCACAGAACAACACACCCCCCAACCCTCAGTTAACCGTAGCTGCCATATCCCTCATAATAGTGGAATAAGAGTAGTCTTTAAAATCATTTGTAACCGAAGCCCACAAAGCTGCCCAGTACTTAACTCTATCCCAAAGCTCAACCACTCCCACTCCCTTATAGTCTTCAAAAATTCTCCTATTACGCTCCATCCAAATGTTCCAGGATACAGAGTGGACC